CCCCCCCCCCCCCCCCCCGCCCCAGGGGAAGGGAACAACATCTGGGCGTCCTCTGTCTAGACTGTAGGAGGCAAGGGTTTACCGGAAATAACCAGAGAAAAGAAGATATACCCCTTTCTCCCAGGAGCTCACATCACCTACACTAGAACTAACAGATGTTGTGCAAGCATGCCTCTGGGGGTCAATAAGCGAATGAATGAGTGAATTACTGAATGGCTCAACTGCTGAGCAGCGCAGGTCAGGGGTAGGGAGACAGTTGTCACGGGGAATTGGCTTTTGATGTAAGTGAAGGGTCTATTTCTGTTAGCCTCAAGCAGCCTGCAGGGAGAAAAGGCTGTGTCCTTAAGCCTGAGCTCCACGTGCTGGGATAGGCGAACAGAGCTAAGAGAACCGTGGAGGAGATGCCAGGAAGGGACAAGATGGTACATGCTTCTTATCTTTGGTGTCAGCCATTAGCGACTGAAGGGTTCACATATAACCCTGGGCTTTTAGCTCTTCTTTAACAAAGTGCAAGGCCGTGGCCTCTCTGGGCCTGCTCCAGCCTGTCACTGCTGCCTGCCTCCCTCTTTATTGTCCCTTTAAACTGAGATGACTGGCAGGTACCATTTCACCTTGAGCATATGCTATTTTTCTTTTCATGAAACAAAACAATAGTCGGGCATGGTGGCACACACCTGTAATCCTAGCTGCTCAGGAGGGTGGGGCAGGAGGACAGCAAGTTCAAAGCCAGTCTAAGCAACCTTGCAAGACCTTGTCTCGGAGTAAAATTTCCTAAAAGGGGTGTGAGAGGGAGTAAGGACGTAGTTCAGTGGAGATGCCCCACCCAACACACTCAAGGCCTTGGGTTCTGATCCCACCATCTCAAACACAAAGCATCGACAAACCCAAAACCATTTTTCTTATCAGGTATTTATCAAAGAGAGAATTCAAGAGATAGGAGCAGAGCTGGAGAGATGGCTCAATGGTTAAGAGTACTAACTGTCCAGAGGAATTTGGTTCAATTCCCAGCACCCACATGGCAGCTAACAACTGTCTATAGCTCCAAGATCTGACACCCTCACACATGTATGTAGACATACATGTAGGCAAAATGCCAATGTTCATAAAATAAGAATAAATAAATTATTTTTTAAAAAGAAATAGGAGCCATGTAAGTTAAGAATGATAGGACATTTCATTAAAAATTAAAAGTGGAGGGCTGGGGAGATGGCCCAGGTGGAAAAAAAAATAAAAAAAGCATGGCATGCAAGCCTGATGACCTGAGTTTGAACCCTAGAACCTGGAAAACCAACTCCCCAAAGTTGTCATTTGACTTCCATATGTACAGGCATGAGAACACACACACACACACACACACACACACACACACACGAGTGCACACACTACACACACATACTAATAAGAAGCTAAAAATAAATAAAGCTATAGCAACTGCACCACCATACAGCCATCCCATTGAGTATATAGAGTAGATGTCTAGTGTTCTGACCATGAAGTATGTGGGTCATATGCTGTTAATTGATTTAGTCATTTTACAAGATACAGGGTCTTAGTATGTCACCCAGGCTATCCTGGAACTCATGGCAATCCTCCTAATTCATCCTCTCAAGTATTGGGATTATAGCATTAGTCATCATGCCCAGTTCGAAGAAGTTAAATAAAAGATGTAAAGGGAGGGGCTGGGCATGTGGCTGTTTATAGAATGCTTGTCTCAAGTGCTCAAAGCCCTAGGTTTGACTCCTAGCACCACATAAACCTGACACAGTGGCACACATCCCTAGCTCTTGGGAGGTTGAGGTAGGAAGATCTGAAGTTTGAGGCTATTTTTGGCATAAAGTTTGAGTCCAGTCTGGGACACATAAAAAGGAAAACAAAAACAGAACACAGGTGTATCCGAGGAAGTGAAGGATTTCTAAATAATTGAAAGATAAATGCCCAGCTTCCCTAAGCTGCATGCTGTTGTTTGAGTCTGAAATGTCTCAGACAGGTGGATGTATTCACTACTTTTTTCTTCTTCACCCTGGCCACACAAATGACTCTCTCACTCTGCAGGGACTTCTCTACAACTGCTGCAGGATTCATCCGTATTCTCCACAGTTGCTTTGGCAAGCACAGCAGTTCTTGAGGATGCTAGCTAGACACGGAACCCCACATGCTTCAGCAATCCATGTCCGTGTCTGTATCCACCAGAGACATCAAAGGCTGGTAACCGCCCCCACGCTCACAGCAGGGGTTCAGTGGGTGAATGGATAAATAGATTGCATGTCCACCTAATGGAGTGTTGTCAATTTTAAAAAGTGTTGATACAAACTGCAATGTTGATGATTTTTATGATAACATGGATCAAAGCTTTATGCTAAGTGAAGGATGCCAGACACAGAAGGCCATGTGTTCTATGATTCCACTTACAGGGAGCGTCCGGGTTAGGCAAATCTTCTGAGGATGGAAGAGATTAATGCTTCGGTGGTTTGAGGAAGAGGTGAGGGAAGTGACTGTTAGTGGTTGTGGTGTTTGTTTCTAGGGTGACAAGAACATTCTAGAGTGGATTGTGGTGACATTTGGACAACCTGTGAACATATTGATTATGACTAGACTTGTTTTAAGTGGGCAAGATGGAGAGTGTGTGAATTGTCTGAGCAAAGCTGGGAGGCATTGCTTGTATGAGGTATTATTTGCTCAGGGATGTGTTCTCATCAGCTCATGGTGGCTGCAAGGGTACTCAACAGTTGGTTTGACAATGTCCACTCTGGGCCAGACCCTCTGGTTGCTAAATGCTAAAGGATCCTGCCTCAAGCCAGAATGCATCTTCTACCATTCAGAGGTCTAGGAGTTGTGGAAGATGGATGTGGGTGGTTGGAGGATGGGGCAAAGGGTGAGGGCTAAGTTTCCCATGAGCAAAGAAGTGGTATCCAGTCAAAATATCAAGAAAATCTCTAAGGTATAGAGAAGAGATGGTGCAGAGTGGAATGGATCTAGAAAATGCAGTTTCCCTCAGTTTGGCTAAAGCATTAAGTCCATGATGAGGGCTGATGGCAGCAGGTCCCCCAAAGACTTCTGGGACCAGATGTGAACTTAAAATCTGTGATGATAAGTCAAATAATGTTGTTTGAGCAATGTTGTAGAAAGTACTGCAGCCAGTCTTTGCAGAGGATGGATCCAGGGGCTTTAGCCTGAGGCACCAGGTCAGAGGTTACACAGGGAGGGAAGAGTCAGCCAGGACTGAATGAGGCCAGCAGCAGCTGGCCCAAGGCAGGGACAGAGGCAGGGACACTCAGCCACTTTCTAGGCATGATGAAAACCACAAAAGCAAATGTACCCGCCAAGCATTGCACTTACTTGGCAGCACTGTTAACTATTAGAGGAAGTACTTGCCAATGAATGCAAGTGGTCTGTGGTTTTAAACGGCAGCCACCGTGTCATAAAGGCAATTGAAGGGAAACCCCCAGTTAGGGGTAATAAGAGAACAGGGACCTAAAAGCCTAACTTTCCACTATGTGGTTGTAGGTCAAGCCTATTAACTGGTGAAGTCTAGACCATGTTCCTGACTTGTCCCATGATAGGCAGCAGTCACTCTGGTCTGGCTTGAGACTGGCACAGGTGTTTCTATGTTAAAGCGCTCTGCTAGCCACATGGGAGATGCTGACCCACCACTGTACACTAACCCAGACAAGACAAACTTGTGAAGGAGGTGCCAGGAAATGTGTTCTCATGGACAGAGGTGAACCTGGCTCTCTCTCTCTCTTGTCTAGTCTTACAGAAGTTCCATGACATTGTTGTATTTTACTTTTCTCCTCTGTGAACTGGACTAGCAAGTCCACTAATGAATAAGTATATTCTAAATGCTAATTAGTGAATTCTAAATGACCTGTGCACTCAGGAGGTTGAAACAAGAGGATTGTGAGTGTGAGGTGAGATTTTTCCCCACAAACTAGATTCTTTTATTTATTTTTTTACAATAAATTTTATTTTTTTCCATTTTTAAAACTGAGCTGTACATTTTCCCCCACTCACCTTTTCTCCTCCACCCTCTCCTCAGCCTCCCATGTTTCCAATTTACTCAGGAGAGCTTGTCTTTTTCCCCTTCCTAGGTGGATCCATGTATGTCTCTCTTAGGGTCCTCTTTGTTACCTAGGTTCTCTGGGGTTGTGGCCTGTAGTCTGGTTGCCCTTTTCTTTATGTCTAACACCTACTTAGGATTATGAGTGAGTACATACTGTGTTTGTCTTTCTGGGTCTGGTTTACCTCATTCAGGATGGCTTTTTCTAGATCTGTCCATTTGCCTGCAAATTTCAAGATGTCATTTTTTTAAACCCCTGAGTAGTACTCCATTGTGTAAAGATACCACATTTTCTTTATCCATTCTTCAGTTGAGGGGTATCTAGGTTATTTCCAGGTTCTGGCTATTACTAATAATGCTGTTTGAACATAGTTGAGCAAATGTCATTGTGGTGTGAGTGTGCATCCTTTGGGTATATGCCCAAAAGTGGTAATTTCTGAGTCTTGAAGTAGATTAATTCCCAATTTTCTGAGAAATCACTCTATTAATTTCGACATCCGCTGTACAAGTTTGAATTCCCACTAGTAATGGAGGAGTATTTCCCTTACTCCACATCCTCTCTAGAATAAGCTGTCATCAGAGTTTTTGATCTTGGCTATTCTGATAGGTATAAGATGGTGTATCAGAGTTGTTTTGATTTGCATTTCCCTGATGGCTAAGGATGTGAGCATTTCCTTAAGTGTCTTTCAGCCATTTGAGATTCCTCTGTTGAGAATGCTCTTTTTAGATGTGTATCCCATTTTTATTGGATTATTTGCTCTTTTGATAACTAGTTTCTTAAGTTCTTTGTATATTTTGGAGATCAGTCCTCTTTCAGATGTGGGGTTGGTAAAGATTTTTCCCATTCTTTAAACTGCCATTTTGTCTTGTTGACTGTGTCCTTTGCTTTACAGAAGCTTCTCAGTTTCAGGGGGTCCCATTTATTCATTGTTGCTCTCAATGTCTATGCTACTGGTGTTCTATTTAGGAACTGGTCTCCTGTGCCAATGCGTTAAAGGCTACTTCCCATTTTCTCTTCTAAGAGATTCACTGTGGCTGGATTTATGTTGAAGGCTTTGATCCATTTGAACTTATATTTTGTGCATGGTGATAGACATGGATCCATCTGCAGTCTTCTACATGTCAGCATCCAGTTATGCTAGCACCATTTGTTGAAGATGCTTTCTTTTTTCCATTGTGTAATTTTAGTTTCTTTGTCAAAAATCAGGTGTGTGAATTGATATCGGTCTTTGATTGGATTCCACTGATCCACCTGTCTGTTTTTATGCCAATACCAAGCTGTTTTCATTACTGTAGCTCATAGAAGAGTTTGAAGTCAGGTATGGTGATGCCTCCAGAAGTTCCTTTAGTATACAGGATTATTTTGGCTATCCTGGGTTTTTTGTTTTTCCATATGAAGTTGAGTATTATCCTTTTGAGGTCTGTGAAAAATTTTGCTGGGATTTTGATGCGGATTGCATTAAATCTATAGATTGCTTTTGGTAAGATTGCCATTTTTACTATGTCAATTCTACCTATCCAAGAGCATGGGAAATATGTCCATTTTCTGTTGTCTTCTTCAATTTCTTTCTTCAAAGATTTAAAGTTCTTGTTATACAGGTCTTTCACTTGCTTGGTTAGAGTTGCCCCAAGTTATTTTATGTTATTTGTGACTATTGTAAAAGGTGGTGTTTCTCTGATTTCTTTATTAGCCTAGTTATCGTCTGTATATAGTAGGGCTACTGATTTTTTTGAGTTAATCTTGTATCCCGCCACTTTGCTGAAGATGTTTATCAACTGTAGGAGTTCCCTGGTAGAATTTTTGTGGCCACTTACATATACTATCATGTCATCTACAAATAGTGAAAGCTTGACTTCTTCTTTTACAATTTGTATCCCCTTGATCTCCTTTTGTTGTCTTATTGCTCTAACTAGAGAATTTCAAGTACTATATAGACTAGATGTGGAGAGAGTGAACTGCCTTGTCTTGTTCCTGATTTTAGTGGAATTGCTTTGAGTTTCTCTCCATTTAGTTTGATGTTGGCTGTTGGCTTGCTGTATATTGCCTTTATTATGTTTAGGTATGTTCCTTGTACCCTGATGAGGCCTGTTTTAAACATACATACATACACAGCAGACCTTGCCTCAAAACAACCCAAAAACCTTGTGTATAGTTAGCCTCATGTAAATGTTGGCTATCGTTGTTGTTATAAATAGAGACAAAGCTAGGAAGCAGTGGGAGAGCCATTGTAGAATGTCTCATGTCACCACAGGTGTGCAAGTGGGAACAAGATGTTCACAAAGTTCAGCTTTGAACTTGAGTTTCAGTGCTGGACAGATACATGGCTAAGCTTATTCGACATGAAGTTAAATTCATTGAGCTCAGCAACAGTTTGCTAAGCAGTGACTGTGTGCCATATTATATAGAGGCCCTGTAGTAACAGGGTGACTCAGCATCCCTGCTCTCAAGGACATAGAAACCTAGGAAGATGGCAAGTGGCTCATGACACAGCTGGTGTGCTACCCTGTACCCCAAGCCCAGCACAAGGGAGGTGTAGAGACAGCCAGAGAAAGGAGTGATGGCAGGCATTCTCGAAGAGGCCATACTCAGATCTGGTAGAGGCACAGCCCAGGCCCAGCCAGTGATGACTGATTGTAATGTTCCAAGGAGGCAGTCATTTCTCCTTGGCCCTGTCCTGAAGTGACTCATTCCTTCTCCACCACCCCCACCCCAACCCGCCCATAAAAAGACAATCTTTAAGGGTCTGGAGGCATTCTCTAAATCTTCCTGCATGTATATTCTGTCCATCAAGGCTCTGCTCTGATTTTTCCTCAATTGCTCTGTCTTTTGGCTCAGAGAGGTTAAGATCTTGGTTAAGTCCTCATGACCTAAATCAACATCATTAGGCTCATTCCAGTTGCTGCACCTTGTCCTGCAAAGAGCCCATCCTTTGTGTGTTCCCACTCACAGATGTTCTCCTATTGTGATGGATGCCAATACCTTTGTGTGTTCCCGATCACAGATGTTTTCCTATTGTGATTGATGCCAACCATGGTCCAAGTAAAGCCTCAGGGACTCAGATGAAAAACAGCCCAGTCATGCAAGAGAGAGGAGGTCTTGGCAGGGCCCTGCCTAGATTCCCTTCTCCAGAGCTTGCTCTCTTTCAGTTCCACTGGGGCTCTCAATGCTCTCTGTCCTCTGTGCAGCTTCCTCGTTTAGCAAAGATCTGTAGGTCAGGAGACAGGGGAGTCTAATATGGGAAGGTGGATGTAGCCACAGCTTCCCCGAGATGGGACTGAGAGAGGCAGGGGCATGGCCCCTTGTTTGTTGTCCTTGTCTTTTTTCCTTTTGTGCCCCCACCAAGGTGACTCATGCGCTTTGCTCTGGGCAAACCCCACAGCCTTTGTCACCCTGTGGGATGTACAGATCAGGGCATGTACTCTTCCTTTCTCTGAGGATGGAGTCTGTTTTGAGCATGGTTGAGGCGCCAGCTGACAGTTCAGACATGGTTATGTGAAACACTATCCCAAAATCCTTGTGGTGCAGGAGAGGGAGTTACCTGGAGAGTGAGGGTTGCCAAGAGTTTCAAAACACTGGAGCCCACAAAGCATGAAGCATCCGAAGCATCCATCCCAGCTGTACATCTGCATCCTGCCAGAATCAGGGCTTTGCTGGGGAGAGGATCCTGAGCACTGATCACTCTCAGAGGTTATTTTAGGGGAAACACTGTTACTTCATTCCCTAGAAGTATCCCTCAGCCACCAACTCAGAACCATGCAGAGACTATGGAGGTCATTAACCAGGGTTGGTGCCCGGGTGGTGGTGGTGTTTATAAAATTGTAATGTTCAGACTCCCTCCTCTGGCCAGAAAATGCATCCATGAAGTTGTGCAGTCATAAACAACTGTCTAGACACTCAGGAGGAGGCCCTATACCTTCTAAGCAGCCTGTCTTCCCAGTAATCTCAGATTCATGCTTCGGAAACCTCCAATCTGCTTCTATCATGGTGGGCTTGCTTATTCTGTGGGTTTCATATAAATGCACTCAAGCCTTTTTGTGAATGGCTTTTTCTCTTAACCTAAGATTTTCTTCTGTTTGCAAATATACCTGCAGTCCAGAAGGGGGTGCTAGATCTCAGTACAGATGGCTGTGAGCCACCATGTGGTTGCTGGGAATTGAACTCCGGACCTCTGAAAGAGCAGCCAATGCTTTTAACTGCTGAACCATCTCTCCAGCCCTTAGCCTAACATTTTAAAGGCTCAGCCATGTTGCTGCACAGATCAGTCAATTCTTCATTATTTTTCATGGCTGAAAAAGTTCATTGTATGGTAATACACTTTTCTCTATTGCCTTCCTCTTTTCTCATGCTTTTTAGATGTCACGCTGTAGTTGTTCATGCCCGGTGATCTTCTCTACACTCTCTTTCTTATGGAGACAGTGTCTCATGTAGTCCAGGCCGGTCTGGAACATACTATGCAGCCAAGGATGACCTTGAAGTCCTGATCCTCCTGCCTCTACCTGCCAAGTGCTGGGATTACAGGCATTTCTCTCTATACTTGGCTTCTGTCTTTGAAACACACCCCCTCTTTTGTTACCCTCACCTTTCGTCATCCACAGAGATGCACTGAGGAAATTGCAACCTGCCACCTTAGCCCAGGGGCCTCTTTTTGTTCCCAAGGACTAACCTTCTTGATAATGTTCTTTGAGGTGCCAGAGTCTTTAACTTTGACATACTAATTATTTTTATTATTATTATTATTTTGTGGCTTGTGCTTTTGGTGTCATGGAATTGGAGACTTTTTTTCCACCTGGACAAAATAAGTGGATGGGGAGGGACATTAGTCAGACAAAAAGAGAACAGGATGGCTTGAAATATTTTTATCACCTATTTAGTCAGAAAATCTCAACAGGTACCTGATTTAAATATAAGTATATGTAAATAGCAGAGGGCCAATACCTTAAAACTACTGGCATATACTTCCTGATCTCTAACCTCTGAACATCAGTGGGATAAGGACTCGGCAAACATGTGTTGGAAAGCACATGGTGTTTCTTAGTTCTGCTGGTACATTTTTGAAAGTTAGGACAGTTGGTCCCCATTTGGATCATTGTCTGGCAGCACAAGGAAAGTTCCATAGGAAGAACAATCTGTCTTACACTCACCAGTTTGGTAAAGTTCTGCATTCGCCCAGAAAGCTTGAGGCAGGTTTCTCATTTCAAATCCCAGGCTGGTTTCTAGGTATGTGTTCAATGTGAAGCTAGCTATTGGTCTGTGTGACCGCCACATATTGGCATGCTAATGGCCACTTTATATGTGCCAGGCATCGCGATGGCAGAGCTAATGTTCGCAAGGACCTGCTGGGTAATGCCAGAATCCCTTTTCTACTGAAGAAACGAAGCTTTGGTTAAATAACTTGCTTAAGGCTACCCAGATTTTAGAATCAAAGCTAAGAATGACTGAATGAGAGTTCAAACCTTAGAGTCTGAACCACTAAATGCAACTATTATTTGACGACTACTAGATCTAAAAAGTTGGCCTCAGCAGCATCGCTTGGAACAGTTTACAAGTCAACAAGGGCACTACTATCCCTTCCGCCACCACCCTTCGGCTGCGCAAGCGCATTGCCTCGCGCACACCATCCCTTCCGCCTCCACTTCTCGACTGCGCAGGCGCACTCCTTTGCTCAGGGCGACGGTGGAGGAGGGTCAGGATTGTAGC